TCAGAGACTGGTGAGACGTCAGGAAGAACAACCTTCAGAACATGGCCAAAGAACCCGAAAAACCCACAACAACCATCAGTTTATCAGAGACTTCACAAAATGAATTCCTGTGAGAAATAGTGAAAATCTAGTTAACATGTGCAATACATTAAGAAATAATGTTTAGTGTCAAAACATATTCATGAGCAGTGTAGGGTATTGTAGTACTAGAATATTATTGTATTCCGTATGTACAGAAACATTTGTATTCTGTTCAGGAGTGTATTGCTCCTCAAGATTAACTTAGTTTCTTTCACAACCGTCTTTTGTATATTATGGAAAGCCCTTGCATTCAAAAATTATTTCCATCTGTTGCAGGGCAGTAGCCTCTTCAATCCAACACTCTTTCTTAGTTGCAAAAAGATACCCATATTTCATGTCTGCCAGATGGTATCTAGGTGAACTGCCATCTCCTTCCCATACCCTCAAATTATTAGCAATTTTGTTACTTTATAATTGTGTTCTCCCCCTTATTTTCCCCAGAAGAAACTTTTGGCAAATATTGTCACTTCCCATATTATAAAATCAAAAAATTCAAGCTTATTTCTTATCAGCAGTGGTGATCATTCTCTTGCTGTATTAATGATGCACCAGCACTTCTTAAGCTGAAATTGCATATCACTTTTAAGAACAGTTTAACAGATAAAGTAAATAAATGATGTGCACATAAATGATAAGCAGACTTGTCACAAGGCAAAGCATATTACATAACATCATACGCAATAAAAAGCCTGACCTGTTTCACCACAGAAAGTGAGGGCGACCATGTGAAAAAGAGGACACAGCTCTTTTACTATTAATTATTGTGTTCAGGAGGACATTTCATTGGCCTAGCTTGCATTAAAAGCTGCACTAGTGGAAATGTCACATCATCATCATCATCATCATCATCATCATCATCATCATCATCATCATCATCATCATCATCATCATCATAATAATAATAATAATTCTAAGCAGCTATTTAAAAGTACAGGAACTCTGTCCTCTTTATCTACTGGTCACCCGTACCAATAGCTTTCAGTCATAAGCACAATAAAGGAGAAATCTTTCTCCGGCTCATCTGGAAGCAATTTTTCTCCTCAGGATCTTGGAAGTTCGAACCTGTGTTATGTTGAAGAACAGCCTTCCAAAATCATGACTGTTCAACTGGAGGACCATACAATAAATAATCTGCATGTTAATTTGCATATGCTATACAGGAACACTCTGTATTTGTAAACTTCATTTAATTTAATCCTCAGAGAGGACTATTCATCACACGTTTCATCCAATCCCATATAGTCAGACCCTTCAAAGTTTTCCAGAACTTTGTTGTCTCCAAACAAGCTATCAATAACTTTATATTTATCAAATACTGAAAACTGTGTTTCATTGTCCCCTACAAAAAGGTAGGAGTTGCTTACAGCATTTCATCTTTTAACTAGTCATCACTATTATGTCAATTACTTGCCTCCAGAAGAACAAAACTTAGGAGCAACCCATCTACATGAAAATGTGTCAGCCATTCTGTCTATATCCCCTCCAGCATTCTGCCAAGAGTGCTCTGTTGCATATGGAATTTTAACAGTTCACAAATATGCACCAGTTGAGAAACTGAAGTGGATGTAGCCACTTGACTCCTAAAAGAGTTCCTGTATTTTCCCCAGAAACTAGCCTATTTCCTGCACACCTGAGACAATTTAGTCTGTAACCAAGAAGGCAAGCCATATTTTTGCATTCCCTTCCAAAGATAACCCGTTCTGTTTGTTTTTAGAACTTATGTTTTTATTAAAGAAGAAAACATCTTACACAATTCACAGGAAGGAAAAAGAATAGCATGTCCATGCTAAAACCACAGAAATATGTAGAAAAGGCAAAGTTGTATAATTCTGAGAAATGCTACCATATACTTTTGTGATCATTTTGCTTCATTTCATCTAAAGGTCATGCAAAAGGTACCAAAGTAGTGTTTATTTACTCCTTATTTATACATGTGTTGCATTTATGTTCTGTCTTTATTTCCAAGCACTCAGAGCTGTGTACAGTGTTTACCTCAAGCCTCCAGAGTTGTGTGTATAAACGGCTCTAAAGATAACTGCCTCTGCCCAGTATTTCCAATTGAAAGATGAAACAATCAAGAAGCAAAAAGTGGCAACCTATGAGTGCAGTCCAAAGAAAGTGCAGGAGTAGTAGGAACTTCTCCAGCCCGAGGATTGATTACAGCCTTATACTGTAGAAGTTCTGAGGGGTGGGGGTTGCACTGGGCAGGGCTACAACCAACAGAACGTGGCTAACAGTGCCAACATGATTTAGGTTACAGCTCATGCTCCTGGTAACTAAGCTTTAGGAGGATGCATTTTCAGCTTTTGAAAATGGGAAATCTGTACAGTATAAAAGTTGGAAATATGTCAAAAGATGATATAATGGGGAAGGAGCTGTGGACATGGGGGAACTCCACAAGGGCCAATTTAGGTCTTAGAACCTCACATTCCCACTGCTGCCTTAGATAGATCCTCATAAACCTAGGCATGCTCACAATTTCTTTAGAAAGATACAGTACAAATGAGCTAGTTAGCTGTTATAAGTCTTGAGGCTCATAGTCTTGGGCAAGCAAGAGAAAATCAAAGAAATTGTGTTTAGCTACAAGTAATGGGTACATAGGTGTGCATATGTATCTGAGTATTTTGCTGGTAAATTGTTGAAACTATAGAATAGTGGGAAAGGTTTCCCAGCATTATTTGTCTCTTCAGCAGAATGATAACAAAGTCCACTTTTCCAAAATAAAATTAAATATTTCTGTGTTAAAATCATTAGCATTCCTAATCTGTAGTTAGGGTCTATGAAAGTCTTGAACTGCTAGAAAGCAAACTACATAGTTTTTGAAGTATTCCAATTGTGTGCTTCTATGATTACTCAAGTTTATCAGCCTCCACCATTAAGATGAGTAATTAAGAGTTCAGAAGCTGCTAAATCCAGATTGTGACATTCAGTGCTGTTTTTTTCTTTACTCACTGTAGGGATGCTTGGCATAGAATTTTGCATTAAGAAATGCCTGGAATTTTTGGCATGCTTGATCATACTAGTCATTGCAAGTAATAGAGCAAAGAAAGAAATGGAATGAAATGAAAAAGAAAAATCCACCATAATTTGCAGCTACTTTTCTCTGCAGAACTTTGTTCAAATAAGATATGAGTGGGGAGAAAAAACCTTGGCTGTAAATCAGCTGTCCTGTGGAAAAATAGAAAGTAGTAGCCAAAGAAGGGGAAGCTAGTTTCTCTTCAGATATAGACCTTTCCTTTATTTTTAATTTGACATTGCTGAAAGTTGTTATGGATTTCATTTACTGTTGGTACATAATTACAAGAGAAAGTACTTTAATGCCAAAGCACTATGGAACTCATATTGAAATTATTTGAATTTACCTAATGGATAAACATAATATGCCTACCCATTTTAGGAGTAGAGATGATGCTGGGCCTGAGTCCAAAATGTGTTCAGCTACTACAACCTTCAGTTCCAGAGTGGGCCCAATATGTTCCAATTAGGCAGTTGTTTTTTAAATCCAACATTTTCCTCAATCCCCTTATTTTCACTAATCCCCTTCAGATCACTTCTATCTGGCAGCTCTAATCCAGGTACATATTAGGCTTCACAATTAGCTGTAATTTTTTTTGTCTGTACATACAACATTTTGGTGGCCTATCAGAACATGGATGATTCCACTTAACCCCAGAAGCATGGTTAGAATTGATGATCTAAGAGACCTCCTACTTCCTAATATTGAAGCAAATGATAGCCATTGGTTAGCATGTCACTGTCCTGATCTCTGCCGAATATTGGTCTGCTTACGGTAAATGAGTTAATTTCTTAAAACCTGGGCAAGGGGGTAAAGAAGGAAGCACTTGCAGAGGATACTTTGACATCTCTGTGTGCCAAAGCCTTGAACCTGATCCAGGAGGCCATGGGCAACCCAGTGGAGGAGAGCCAGAACTGGAGTGATGTGCCCAGATTTATTTGCACCAACCACCAGTCTGGCTGCTGCATTCTGGACCTGCTGAAGTCTCCGGATCAGGTTCAAGGGAAGTCCCACGTAGAGGGCATTGCAGTAGTCAGTCTGGGAGAGGACCAGGGCCTGCACCAAAGTCCTGAGGGAGTCTTCATCTAGGTAGGGGCAAACTTGGGCAATTACCCTAAGCTGGTTGAAGGCTGATCTGGACATGGCTGCAATGTGGGACTCCCAAGAGAGAATGCACTTGGTTTCTAAACTGGAGGGGAGTACCATCCAGTCTAGGGACCATCCCCCCTAACCTATCAAAGGTCCTCCTCAGGAGGAAAATCTCTGTTTTGTCCAGGTTCTGTTTGAGCCTGTTAGCCCTGGTCCATTCCTGTACTGCAACCAGGCAGTGCTTCAGCATCCAGACGGCATCCAATGCAGAGGTGGTAACTCATAGCCAAAAAGGCTGAGTGCTATAATAAAATCAAAAGGTGCTTTCACAAAGTATTAGTTTAAGGGTGTGCACATAGATGCAACCATATTATTTCAGTTTTTTCTTTTTACTTCCCTCCACCTAAAAGATTTCAGTTTTTTTGTTCAACTGAGTTGTACAGTTTATAGGTCTCATTAAAGGTGGAAAAAGTTCTGAAATGATTTATCTTTGTCTCATTTTTTTACATCACAGACACTTGACATTTTAATAGGGTGTGTAAACTTTTTATATCCACTGTATTCTCTGGTTTACCTGTATTTTTAATTAACTCAAATACAGTCTTCTGTTGTCACCATCATTTTTGGGAGTAAGACATCAGACTGGTAGGTTTGATCAGGACAGGCACCAGTGTAACACAGATGGAGTTCCAATGAGGAATGGCTGTTAACCTGTCCTAAGGCTTGTATGTTTTACAAGATTTCGCCCATTTGTATGAATCATGTTTACAGTTTTATCTTTACTGATGACAACCTTTTTATATTCCTTTACTAGGGCATATTTCAAAACATTTGTCCCTCAGTTCCAGGAAGCAGCATTTGCCAATGGAAAACTATAAAGATGGAATGACCTTATCTGAAGAGGATACCATGTGGATTCCTAGATTCACATGCCTGATTACAGACCACAATATGATATCCTGGACTTCAGTTTCTATTGGTGTTTTTTGTTTGGTTGTGTTTTTTATGTTTGTTTTTTATTGGGGTCAGGGACTCTGGAGTGTGTTTTTGCATTTAGAGAGTTCGGTCACTACACTCTGAATTCACTCTGTACATACATCATGGACTTTACCTGGCCTAATATCTCTTTTCTTTTGCTCATTGTTTCTATACAATTATGGTCTTTATTTACCTGCTTGATTAAAATTAAAAATGTAGCAGATAGATGTGATTTTCCCCATCTCTGATGCCTTATTTCTACGAGTCTTTTTCTATGTGAATATTTTGGATTTTGCTATGAAATTTTGCCTGCTGGAATTATAATTTTTTAGTTTATTAAAAATACACTTAAAAACAGTTGTTCTGTTAGACAAAGCACTGCCATGTTACAATTTTACAATTTTCTGTACTCAGAATTAGTGTCCATATGAAATTCAAAAAATAAAACCAAATTGTGACAGTTGGTTTGATGGCCACAGTATTTCTGGCATCTCCAAGTGGAAGCCCCCTCTGTTACAAATTTCACGTTTGTGCACTTACTGTTAGCTGCCTTCCAATTCTGTGCCGATACCTGGTTTGCATATAGTACGTGGCCCAGAAATGTCTGTCATTACACCAGTAGCATCTAGCAAGCAGCTGTGCAAGTTACAAGGTTGTGATGCTATTTCCCCCTGAGTTTGCAACTCTGATGAGAAACATAAAATACTTCTGTTGAAACAGATCTTCAACTTCAAGGGCTGCAATGGTTCTTTTATTAATACAGTGGTGCCTCGCTTAGCGATTGCTCTGTATAGTGATGAAATCGCTTAGCGATGGGGTTTTGGCCATTGCAAGAGCGATCGCTTAGCGATGGTCCCTATGGGGAAAATCGCTTTGCGATGATCGCGGGGAAGCGATCATGGCAAAGCGACCCTTTTTAAACAGCTGATCGGCAGTTTTAAAATGGCCTCCCACTGTGTGTCCTCGCTTTAGAGGCACCGAAAATGGCCGCCCCTATGGAGGATCTTCGCATAAGGTTAGTTTTGAAGCCCATAGGAATGCATTAAACATGTTTTAATGCATTTCTGTGGGCTTTTAAAAATCGCTTAGCAATTAAATCGCTTAGCAACATTTTTCCTGGAACGGATTAACGTCGCTAAGTGAGGCACCACTGTATATAGTATGTAAAGCAATTTGACCTAAAACTTGCAGTTTATAAGATTTTGTGAGACAACCTAAGTGGATGTATCATTCTTTCTAATATAGGAACCATTGACCATCCAAGCCATCTATTTTTACCTTCCTGTGATACATTTAGACAAGCCACTTGTCTCTGACTAGTGGTGGGGTAACTTCCCATATTTTGTAAATAGCTCAGGGTACTTTCCAGCAGGGATTAAAATGTCTAGAGTTACAAATAGCATGTTGAAAAGACACTTTAGTTCTGCTGCAATTTAAGGAATAAAGCTATGGGTGTATTACTGAAAAGGCCTGTGGTTATCTAATACATAAGGGAGTTACTCTCAAATTAATTAATTAATTAATTTCAGGAATTTGTAAAGGAGTTACTCTCAAATTAATTAATTAATTTCAGGAATTTGTATTCCACCAAACTTAGTGCAGAGACTACTTTGGATGGTTAACAATCATGTGCATAACCATTCCAAACTGATATTAAACCCTGATCCATCCCACCTCAATCAAATCTCAAACAATCCAAATTCAACCATATCCCCAAAACAATCCCCAATATACACGTCAACGGATGAGCCATGATCCAAGTGAATGCAGAGGGGAGAGATTGGTCTTAAGCAATTTTGTAAAGGCTGGAAGGGAAGTGGACACAGGGTCTCTTGGTGCACCTCAGCATTAAACATTGGTATTCTATTTATAATTGATATCCTGACTTTTTCCTAAGAATATAACTCAATACGGCTCACAGTTAGCTAGAACAAATACAGTTAAAACAAAATGAGTAGCAGCATAAATAATTTAAAACATACTTTTAAAATCAACTGATGAATGAAAATACAGAACCTATCTAGTTAAAAGCGTCATATACAGTAAACAAGATCATTTGCTAATGGTCTGTCTCTCTTTATATGCTGGTAGAAACATAACAGGGAAGGACACATCCCAGCTTCCCTTCATAGGATTTCCTGTAGAAGCAGACACTGAGAAAGCCGTCTTTCTGTGCCTCAGAAGATGCTGGTACCAAGACAAAGCCTTCCTCTGTCAATCTCAAAGCCCAAGGTGGCTCTTATGGGAGAATACAAGTGTTCTGTTCTGCTGGTGCCAGGTTGTACAGGATTTGTAAGGCTTTATAGGTCATAACCAGTATTTTGAATACACCAAGAAGCAGCTCAGTGAAGCTTTCATAATAGGGGGATTTTGTACTCTATGTTAACTCTTCAGCAGCATTTTGGATCACCTAAAGTTTCTGAACATTTTACAGAGCAGACGCATATAAATTCATTACTGTCACCCAAACAAGGGCCAGAATCCTAAGTATTTGGTGTAAGTGCAATTGCATGACTCTCAGCAGTGAATTGCTGCTAATGAACAAGTTGCCAGTCACATTCCTGATTGTGTAAATTGGCATGTACTATCTTTGCTTCTGCTCCCCAACCTTGCCTGTTTTAAGCCCCTTTTCCCTGGTGGAAGGGAGGCACAAATAATCCCACGCTGAACTAAAATAGTGCAGTTTTAAGAAAAACACCTGGCATCATATCTAGGTGTACCCTTTGTTTCCAAGCTTTGGGACTCATGGGGCCTCACCATCCACCTGTGCTCCAACATGCCACTCTCTTTGACTGCCAAACAGCCGTTTGATGTGCACAGAAAATACAGTAATTGCCAAGGAGTGATGGACAAGTTTCGAGAACCAAGATCAATTCCTGAAAATAATGCCTGAAGGGAAGTGAAAGGAGCAAAGAAAGCAGACATAGAACATTTAGCAGATGCCCTGCTGGTCTGCCCTGACCACAATCCAAACCATCATCTGAGTTCCCAATGCAGTTTAAAAAGAAAGAAAAATGAGGCTTTTCATGAATCAATAAAGAATAGTCAATATTAAATGGCTGGAAAGCAAGCAATTGCTTAATTGCAAGTGCCTTCAGAATAAACAGACAATAAAAAGTCTAACATTATTCCTGCAGTTCTCTAGAGTTTCCAGAACTGGCTGAAGAATTAATATATTCTTGTTGAATAAACGTCCTTTGCAAACCACCTGCCGTGAAAATTGATCTTTCAGTTGATGTTTTCATCAAAGTGTATTGAAGCCATGATGTTTCCCTTCCACCTGCAAAGATTGCAACGTTGTGCCAATGAAATGCTGGAAATGTCCTTGGCTTGCGGTGGAGCAAATCTTTCCGTCAACTAGTTAAGTCTGCCAGTGAACCAGGATACTTTTGTCAGACTTCCATTTTTCATTCAGGATGATTTGATATAAATCAAATCAAATCAAATCAAATCAAATCAAATCAA